GAATTGATTGTTGATAAAAAAAAAACCTTAAATATAGGATTTAAGGGGAGATAATGGAAATTTATACCTTAGATATAAGATTTAATTAAAGGAACTGAATGATATGAAAATAGTAGTTCAATTACATTTTGTGTTTGTAATTAAGAAATATCAAATTTGACAATGAGGATATTTTAGATGAGAAAAGTCCCACAATCTCATTATTTTAATAGTAGTATAGATATAGATAAGATTGGATCTGGTTTGAGTTATACTAAAATGCAATATACGGGTTTATCCAGATGGATCCTAGTTGGATTTGGATCCAATAAGGCATAAAAGTTTTTAGGCTCGGACTTGAAAATTTAGTTAGATCCACTACATATCCAGCCAACCCCATGGCCTAGATAGTAGACACAACATCAAAAAGACATCCAACTAGTGATGGTTTAACACGTATACCGCAACCTTCTTGGTGTGGGTTTTGCAAACTTCTTTTGCTTTGATTCAGTTTGGAAAGACCAAAAGAGTACAAATATAAATATATATAGTATAAATACATACAAAATAATATAAAAAACAAGGTTTTGCACTCTACATATTTGTATTTGTACTCCTTCCAATCTTAGCCTTTGTTGTAATGCAAGAAGTACAAGTAGGCTGAGTGTAAATTCTGATTTTTGTTTGTTTCAAAATTAACTTATTTATCTTTGAGAAGTAAAATAATATGGTCTCTATCTTATGTGAAAGAGAATGAAGCGTGGAGATAGGGGGGAGGGTTATTTGTTTGGGAGTGAGGTAAGAAGAAGGCATTGTCCCACTTTATATGAGAGAAAATTGAGGAAGGATCGAGGAAGATAGTGCAAAAATTTTGCATCAGCTTTTCAGATAAAAAATTGATCAAAGAAGATTGTGCACACTTTAAAGAATATTTTAGATTGTGCATACTTTCAAATTGATCAAAGAACAAGCTTTTCAAGCCCTCAGATTGAATCTTTAAAGAAAAGAATCAAAGGTTTTCTTATTGTAAAGAAATTAAGTCTCAGAGGTTTGTATCCCATTTTACTAATTAAATATCAATGATTTGATATTTGTCATCATTTTTTTGTCTTTGGATTTTTTAGATAGGGAATTTGTGCTGACATGTTACACAACGGATTTCATTCTTTTGGATGTAGTTTGTCATTCAGGATCAGTTTGGAAGCAGCACAGATACAAATATATAGGGTGAAAAACCTTGCATTTTATATTATTTTGTATGTATTTATACTATACATATTTGTATTTGTACTTCTCCCAAATTGAAGCTCATATATACAGTGTAAAACTTTGTATCCAAACCTTGTATGTGCACTTTAAATATTTGTATTTACACTCTTGAACTGAGTGGCAGCTGGGTGGCAGCTGGGTCCAGTAATTGTTCATGTCCAATATCTCCCACTCTTGATGTCAGATGCCGTGCTCTTTATTTAACCAGAAAAAATAGCAAGCTTTGTTGGTTATTTATTTAAAAATTAGTAGCTGGAAAACATCTTTTTCTTGAGCTGAGCTCTTCTCACTTTTGAATTTTCTAAAACTTTAATTGGAAGCAACCAAATGCTTTCCACCCAACCAACTTAATTCACCAAAATCAGTCATGCCACCAGACCTTTTCAAGAAAGGCAACCTGGTTAGAGCCTTCTTCAGATGCATCCTTTGAAATTGAATTCAAGTATTCCTTCCCCTTACAATTATCTGAAAACCCAAGACCATTGAAGATCTTTTTGGTTTGTGAGTTGTAACTTTCATACTTGAATATAAATAATAACCACAATCTAGTAAACTACCATTCACACTATTTTCAGTTGATCTCATTGAATTTAACAATAATCTCGAACCCTTAGTGCCTGTTTGGGGAGGACTGAAGTGCAGCAGCTTTTGGCTTTTGAAGATGAGTTCTGCATAAATAGTCTATAAGCCATGTTTGGTGAAAATTTAAGAGTCAAAATTAGCTCAGTCATTAATTTTGAACTGCACCTCAGCCTTATATAGAGTGCTTCAAAGCAGCCGAACCAGCTTAGTTGAATCTTCAGCTTAGTCCTCCCACATGGGATCTAATACTACTCAAAGCCTTCATACAAGCGCTCTTTCGCTGGGCCACGTTAATATAAGAGAAAAGAAAGAAAGAGAGAGAAAGAGAGAGAGAGAGAAAGATGGGTGTTTTTTTTATGCTTCTTTTCCAGAACTTTTTGGGTTTCTCACATTCAATTTGAGTGAATAAAATATTCCTACCCATGTTAGTGGGTTTAAATATTCTAAGCATACTTTGCCCATTGCCCAATAAATCTTTAATGTTCATCCCAATTTAATGGGTGATGTTTTGGTAAATTGTATACATACATATATGTGTATATATATAATATACAAATTAATATAAAATACAAGGTTTTACACTCTAAATATTTGTATTTCTTACAAACTGAGACTTAAGGCTTTGTTTGGTTGAAGTACAATTTTATTTGCACTGGTATAAATGCATGGGAGTGCAAATGTAAAAAATGCAAATTCTTGTTTAATTTTATTTTGGATTTAACTTTATTTTGCTTCATGCCTTAATTTAGTTCATTTGTACTGCAACCAAACAAAATAAGTTAAAATTTGAAATAAAAATAGCTCAGAATTTACATTCAAATCATTTGCACTGCCATGATTTTGGATCAGTGTAAATTTTTTTGCATTGCCATCAAACACAGCCTTAAGATCAGTTTGGAAAGAATATAAATATTAATATATATAGTATAAATACATACAAAATACAAGATTTTGTACTCTACATATTTGTATTTGTACTGATATTAAGAAAATTCCAATTCTCCCATGGAATTGGTAAAATCGATTCCATTAGACAAATTCAAATATTTAAGGTCAAACTTATCTATCTAATATAAATAAATAAATAAACAAAATTAAGATGACCAAATTCTAGACGAAATACAACTCTTATCGTCTCTCCTCTCCCTCCCTTTCAGTTCTGCTACCAGTGACAGTCATACAGCTGAGAGAACCAAGCAG